GGTAGTGACACACAGGCCTGGCCCCACCCCCCTGAGCTCCAAGTACATCGAAGGGAAGGAGCATGAGGCCCAGGCATCTGAAACAGCTCTGTGGGAGCCACAGTCTGCACCCTGCAGGGAAAAGAGAGAGTGTGCAAAGCCTCTCAAAAGAGAGGCTGGAGCCAGGGAGAAGCTGGGTGCAGGAGAGGCAGCTGGGAAAGGGAGCAAGCAGTCAGAGCCCTGGGGCAGGACTGGAATGAGGTCAGGCCAGGACCAGATGTGGCTACATTGATGGCCAGGCCAGGGCACCCAGCGGGGTGTGAATACCCCAGGAGAGAGCCCTGCCTCAGCCCGTGTCTTGCTGCAGGAGCATGGAGCTCTGTCTACATGGCTGGCGTTCCCATCCTGGACAGGGACTGGACAGGGTGGCAGGAGCAGTATTGGCCCAGAGAACCGAAGCCAGCCTGAGAAGAGGCTGCTCAGGGGCTTATGGAAGCATCAGGGCTGGCATCTCTTCCGCATGTGGGGTCTTCCCATGTGGGCCAGCTGCCTCAGCTGCACAGGGCTGGCGTCCTCAGGCAGCGCTGCCCAGTGCCTGCAGGTGCCTACAGGTGCTTGGTAAACAGAGTGGCCCAGGCTCTTTTTTTTTTTTTTTTTTTTTTTTGGTGAGACTGAGTTACACTCTTGTCATCCAGGCTGGAGGGACAATCTCAGCTCACTGTGGCCTCTACCTCAGCCTCCTGACTAGCTGGGATTACAGGTGCCCACCACCATACCTGGCTAATTTTTTGTGTGTTTTCAGTAGAGACGGGGTTTCACTGTGTTGGCCAGGCTGGTCTCAGGACACAGATAGGGGTTAGGCTGACCCCACTTGTGGTACAGGTCCCAGAGGAAGGTCACAGAGTCCAGGCCCACAGAGTTGAGGTAGTGCCAGGGCCTCTTCCCACTGCAGGACGAGCAGCAAGGCCAGAGCCCCCGAACCCTGAGGGTTCCCTGGGCCCTGAGGCTCATGTAGCCCGCAGGCCCGGTTCAGCCTGCGTATAGCTCAGGCCCCTGGGGAAGGCTGGAAGTGGACAGGCAGTGCCCTGGGGCCATGCTCCTAAGATCCACTGGTACCTTTCAAAAGGATCTCTGCTTGCTCTCGTCTACATATGCCCCGTAACACTCCAAGAAGTAAAGAGGATATAGGGAAAAGTACTGTTACCTCTTCCCTGCTTCTGAAAGTCCTAGACCCCAACATTTCTGTCCCCGTCCCCGTGGGCCGTACCTGTGTGTTGGCTCTTTCTGTCCTGCCAAGGTAGAACCGTTCTCCACATTTCAGGCTGTGAACTGGGCCTCTTGAGATAAGTGCCGTAAACGCTCCTTTATCCTGACATCCAGGCTCTCAGGCTATAAAGCCTCTCTTCCCTGCTAGCTAGCCTTTGTGTAATGGAGCGCAATTTATTTTTATTCTGTCCTTTTCGTGGCTGCCTCATGTCATCCCAGAAGGAGGCAGGTATGAGGCTAAGGTAGTGAGGGGGTAGCTGTTTAGGCACCCACATTGTGGATGCCCTCATTCCCCTGGAACACCCCAGGACCCGGGCCCTGGGTGGCTGCTGCCGCATCCTCTCTGACTCCCACTTGAACACCTGCTGTTCTCCTTCCTCTCCTGCCCCTCACCAAGGACCTGAGAGCCCATCGGCACCAGAAGTGTGTCTCTGCATCCCTGCAAGGTGTTAGCAGGAGCCTCCAAGAGGGCTGGCTCTGCTCAAAGTAAGGGTTCCAGGGGTGTGGAGGAGGGGCCCAAGGAGGGCAGGCATCCAGGCAGAGGGAAGCGGCTGCTTCCTAGGCAGTTTCTCCTGGTCAGTGTGGCCAGAGTTCAGCATCCCCAGGCAGGAAAGGTGGGAGCCAGGGCTGTAGGTGGGCTGGGCCAGGGCTCTGAGGGGCTCAGGGCCTCTACGGTTTGCCTTTAAGCCTGGTGTGGCCCTGGAAGCCAGAGAGGAGGGCCTAGGTCAGGCACAGGGCTGTTGCTTCTTACCCTGAGAGGTCTCTGCCACTGGCTTCTAGGGTCTCTGAGAGGAGCCTGCCCAGCGTCCAGGCCCACAGAACCCAGCCTAGAGGAAGCCCAGGCTCCTGGCTCACTTGAGAGGAGGCCACGTGAGAGCAACTGCCAAGATAGTGATGACATCTCCAAGGCGGAAAACCCATCTTTTATTTATTTAATCCAAACCATTGTGTGAATTATTCATTCACCTTTATGTAAGCAGCTGAACTACAGGGATGAAGAGGAGTCAGAATGCTGGCTTGATCTGCTCCAAGCTGAATCGACCATTGAGGCAGCCTTACCTAGAGGATGGACCCTTCCCTACCTGGACAGGAGACCAGGGTCAGGGCCCCTTCCCCTCCAAGGGTCTATGTGGCATGGAGGTGGTCACTTACTCTCCAGGGCCCTGGGTTTCGGCTGTCAGCAGGCGGGAGAGTGGCCCCTAGGAGAGAAAGCAGCAGCCCGGCTGCTCCCAGCTGCATGGGTGGTGGTTTTGCCACTGAGAGAGAGCCCCACACAACACCTTCCTCGCCCTGGGACCTCATGCCAACCCACCATGGGTGGGCCATGCAGCCTGGAGCCCCGACTGCTTCCTGTGGTCTGTAAGCAGCATAGAGGCAGCTTTGAGGTCTATGGGAAAACATGGCTGTTTCCTCCTCCAAAGTCAGGCTGCATTTATAACCAAAATCTAATTCTTCCCCTTTGGATGTCTGAGACGTATTGAAGGCAGCACAGGCCCCGTTAGGGGTAAACTATGGCCTCTGAAGTATGGTCTCTGCATTCTTCCTTCTGTGTATTGGATTCCTGCTACCGATGGCCCTGTCTTCCAGAGGATCAGCCCAGGGATGCAGGGAAGAATATTGGGGTCATTGCTGCCAATTAACCTTCAGATTTCATTGCCTGATTGCTCGATTCATCAAGGGCCCCAGGCCCCGGGCCCTAGGCCTTTGGCCTTGTCCTGCTGGAGGAGCTCAGCTGTAGAATAACAATGTCCCACAGGACTGTGTGCCGGCAGCGGAGGGAGGAGGCCAGGTCAGGGCAAGAGCCAAACCCAGTGCAGACGCTGCAATCCTGCAGGTGGACCAGTGCCAGGGTCCCCCTGCTGACAGACCCACAGTGGTACAGACCCCATCTCCTCCCAGCCTCTGACATCCCAATGCCATGAACACAGGCCCTGCACTGCTGCTCCTTCCAGAATCCACGGCAGGCAGCGCCCTTTCTCTTGCAGCGCAGCAATGAATCTCTGTGAGCCTCGGTGTCCTTGTGTGTGGATTGGGGGTCAGACTGTGTTCGTAGCTGTCACGGCCAGGCAGTGAGTGAACTTGCACATGGAACATGCTGCTTGACTGAACTCATGCGGTCGGGGATGCCCAGCAGCTCTGAGCTCTCAGTGGTGGCCTCTGGCACACGATCTGGCCAACGCCTTTGATATCCATGTGGTAGACAGGTCCTGGGAGACGGGGTGAAGGGATAGGTTTGGGGTTACAGGTCGGGGAGACTGAGCCAAGCTGGAACCATGGCCTTTCCCACATTCTCCGTCTTCCTCTGCAGGTTTGAGGGCTTTTTGTTTGCACTTGGTTTCTGTCTCTGCTTACCTCTTCCAGGAAGCAACCCTGACTGCATCCATCTGCCGTAAACCGGCCTGTAAGCGTCTCTTCAGACCACTGTGCACGAACTCCCAGGCAGCCCCTCTCTCACTCACTGTGACCTGGCCAGCAGGCACTCACACTTGCGTCTTCCCTCACCCTCCTCTGGGGGACCCCACACCCATCCTGCAGCCTTCAGACTCATCTTTAACTCAGGACCAGCCTTCCCCCAGGTGCTGCATGGGCTTGGAACCCTTGGTTTTTCCCCAGCCATGTGGCCATGGTTGACTTGAACGTCCCCTTTCTCAGCCCAGCCAGGGAGCTGACCGTCCCGTGCCTGGATGTGGGCGCTTGCATCAGTTCTGTGATTTGGTCCCTTGTCCTAGTGGAGGGAGGCTGGCGGCTGGCCCAGCTCCTCTGGCCTGCAGGATAGGATCCAGTGTCTCCCGTCCCCGCCTGGAGCGGTCCCGGGCCCCTGCAGGGCTCCCCATCGCCAGCTCCAGACAGCACTGCTGGGAAGCACCCGGCCTAGGGGACAGCTCTGTGTGCCTCTAAGTGGAGCCAGTCCTGATAATTAATGGGGGGATAAATCGAGGCTTAATTACTTGGAAGACCTCTCGGGTGAGAGATTCATGATCATTGCTGTTATCCTCCTGATGGCTCTGCACAGCATTTCCTCCCCAAGCAGCTGTAAGTCCTGGCGGGTAGGGCACAGGGTTGTGCCCTGAATGGTCACTTAAAGCCGTGTGGGGGTCAGTGGGCCTGGGCGGGGCCAGCTGTCATCTCACAAGTGGTCTGGCCTCAGAGGTGGCTGGCAGGTCAAAGCCCTGGGGCAGTAGGATCCAGAACGTCCAGGAGGCTTCCCACCTGCCTCCCTGTTTCTGAGTGCTGGCTCTGTGGGGCAGGCCTCCAACCCTAGAAAGGACCCAGACCACCGCCTGGGAATGGATGGTCAGGATCACTGGGCAGCTTGGTGGCCCAGGCCTTCACTTCGGGACCCATGTCCTCAGTGCCACCTTCTCTCAGGGTTCTTGCCTAAATGGCTGGAGCATTGGGGCAGGGGTGCCCCCAAGGCATGCCTGATCCTGTGGCTTCCTGGCAGTGACTAGGGTGGCTCCAGGCATTGTCATGATGGCCAAGGGCTGGTCCCTGTGGAAGGGCCCGGGCTGCTTCTGGAGTCCAGCCCTCAGTTACTGTTCTTAATGCGGTAACTTTATTAAGAGTGTCAGTCTGTGTCAGTTCACCCCTCACTCTGGTTTCCTCATGCGTGCAGATGGAGGCTGGCCGGTGCGACACGTGGGCCGCCTTCGTCCCTGGGCAGCCTCCACTCCTGCCCGCACTCTGCCTTCTCCTGGGTCCCCGCCCCTCTGGCCTGGTGCCTCACTCACCATCTCCTTCCCTCCCTCCCACAGAGCTGAGGAAGCAGGTGGAGAGCGCCGAGCTGAAGAACCAGCGGCTCAAGGAGGTTTTTCAGACCAAGATCCAGGAGTTTCGAAAGGCCTGCTACACGCTCACCGGCTACCAGATCGACATCACCACGGAGAACCAGTACCGGCTGACCTCGCTGTACGCCGAGCACCAGGGTGACTGCCTCATCTTCAAGGTGGGTCCCGCTCGCGCTGGCTCTCCTGTCTCCTCTGACGGGGAGATCTGATTGTAGCCCTCGGCAAAGGAGCAGCCTCATGTCTGAAGGCAATGGTGTAGTGGGCCGGGTGGAAGGGAGATGCGTTGGCCTGTTCTCGTCACCCCTGAGGCTTCTCAGCCTTGGACTAACCCCATGTGGCTTTGCAGCCTTGGACCCCCTGGGCGAGGAAGGCCCAGAGCCGTTCCCCTGACTTTCTTGGCCTCTGTCTGTCCTGACTTGGGCTTCGTTCCGTGAGGGTTGGGGCCCCAGGTGTGTGTCGGTGTGTCAAGAGGCAGCAGCGCCTGGGGAGGACTGAAATCCATGTGGGGCCAGGCAGGGGGCACCTTTCAAGCCGCCAGGCCAGAGACTAGCGCAAGGTGAGGTAGACAGACTAGAAGAGGAAGGGAGAGCCAGCCGCGTCTCCACACTCGCGTCCTGCAAGCCAGCGGGCACTCTTCTGGTTTGCTGGTGAAGCTGAGCTAGGTCCATGGTTGTGGGCATGAAGAGTCTCGGGTGAGCAGGGTCCGGTAGCAGAAACTGGGGTGTTCCATGTTGACTGACCATCAGGGTGGAGGTGGCACCATATGGACCTTCAGTACCAGGAAATCCAGGGCGACAAAGGCTTGTTATCACCACCCCAGTGAGCTAACCTCCCTTTTGTGAAGATTGTGCCATTGGCCTGGTGTGGCATCTTGGCCCTAGCATAGCCTCGAGGCTGCTTCAGGAAGGGTGGAGTGGGCGGTGACTGTCGGATATGGGTACAGGCAGAGACCAGCCCTACCTGAGAGCTGCTGCAGTTTGTCTGCAGCCTCTGCGTGTCTTTCTAGAAACAGAGACCCGACTGTTTCTTTTGATTTGTATAAAAGCCGTACCCAGTGCGGCCTACATGTGTCCATCCGCCTCTCACAGCAGCGAGCCACTGCCCATTGGAGTCAGCCTTAGCCCGGCTCTTCCTCCTCCTTCTGCAAACTCACCTGTCTCCCTACCCAGTGCCGCATGGGGCGCAGTGCTGGCTCCTCTGCTTTCCTTCTGGATTTCCTGCTCTTCAGATCATGTTCATCCACGTCTACACTCTTGAAACTCTCAAACCTTTGAATAATACAAACACACAAAATCTTGAAGCTATCAGAAATGTACTTCTTTGCTTTTACATAATTCTGTAAACTTTGAATAATTCACAGAGAGGTGTTTAATACATGATAGAAATTCCATGGGTTTTGAAGATGATTAGGTATTAATAAAGGTGTATCATGAACAGTCACCACTTAACACATCACTCGTTACATCAACATTTACAAATTAAGAGGCGGGGGTTTCCCCAGATCCTTGCCTGTGCTGTAGTTGAAGCGATAGTCTTACGAAGACTAACTCCAGCAGAGCCCTGGGGCATCTTCCACAGGGTTTTGTATTTAGATTGTCAGAAATCCGAAAGAGAGAAGCAAGTCACCCACCTGCGAGGGGCCACCGCGGCCGCGCTTTACTGTGTTTACTTCCGGTGTTCTATGCGTAGGCACGTGCAGAGACATGTTCGTCTACATCTGGTAACTCGTAATCCTGGGATTCCATTGTGTGTGTTCCTGTGTTACTTTTTAAAACACCATCAGCAAGTAGTTTCTTGACCACTCTCATAGCCCCTCGTGGCCTTCTGGAACCCCTACCTGGTATCCTCAGGTTTCCTAGACACTGGGTCCCTCCCCGTCGTGCCCTCAAGTGTGAGCCCTGCCACTCTCCCTGCTCAAGCCAGCATCTCAGCTCCCCTAGAACTTCAGCCCTCCTCCCCACCTTGGCATCCTCTCAGGCCCCAGACTCCTAAGGTCAGGGAGAGGCAGGGAGGGGGCCCCAGGAGGAGGAGGCAGGTGGGTAGAGAGCCCAGGAGCTGGCCAGCTCATAGTGTACAGGAGGCCTGGCTCGTCCTGAGGAGCTGAGGTTCCTGCAGGGATCTGGCCTGGGCACTGCAGCTCCTGCTGGGCATCCTGCCTGCCTTCCTAGACTCTTGTGATCTGGAGCCTTGGTGTACTCCCCAGGCTGCCCCCTCACTGCCCATCCCCAGCCCTTGCTGTCCCTTCTTTCTAATGGCAGGCCTGACCTGGCCTGACCTGACTCTCCAGACCATGGCCTGTCCTGGCCCAAGGCCTGTGTGAATGTGTCTTTGCAGGCCCTGAGGGATGGGTGTGCTGGGTCAGAAGCCACGGAGCTGAGGCAGCTGCCTCTGGAAGGGCGGCTGGGCCACCGGCCCAGCGCTCCACCAGCAAGGCCTGGTGCCCACAGCAGCCCAACTCCCCACCCTCCCAGCCGCCCACCACACCTGCTCTGGCTGCATTCCGGGGACTCAGGTGGATGGCGTCAAGGAACAAGGTTGCTTTTAGCTCAGCTACTTTCCCACTGTGTAACATGCGCTGTGTTTTCATGCTTGAAGCTCACAGAATCAGGGAGATTAAAGGATGGAAGGGCTTTACAAGTTGATGTTTGGAGGCAGGGCTGAGAGCTCCCTGGTGGACCTGACAAAGAGCGCTCTGGGCAACCAAGACAGGGGGCTGACTCAAGGTGAACATGTGGGCTGGTGCCCAAGTGCAGCCATTGCCAGCGGAGTGCCGGCTGGGCCTCTGACTCATCTGTAAAGTTGGTACAGTAATATCTGACCCACAGGAGCAAGTGGGATCATGCTCCCAGCACACCTCATAGTTGCTGAGACCCCACCTTGGTCCATCAGCTTCATTTCTGAGAGTGAAGCCCCTCAGGCAGATGCTGCTAATTTGTGCCTGCATTTGTCCGCGGGACCCCAGCACCAAGGCCAACCTGCTCTATCCTCTTCACATGGGCCCAGCTTGCTCATAGATACCTTCTCCAGGAAGCCCTCCTGGGTTCCCCAGACCTAGGACCCTTTCTTCAGCTGACTCCCCTCCTAGGACCTGCCACCTTGGGTTTTGCCTGACAGGGGACTCTGCCAGAGGTTTTATTCCATTGGGCTAATTGTCCTTTGAGGGTCACCAGGGAGCCTAAGCGTGCGCCTCCCCACTACTGGGCTTCTTGTTCTTAAAAATGCTTCTTGCCCCATTTCTTTACCTGGCTTCCTGTCATAGCCTTTTTCCCCTGGCTTCACCTAGCCCCCACCTTCTCCTCCTCCTCCTCTTCCTCCCACTCCTCTTACTCCTGCCAGAGTCTGTCCTGCCCAGCCGGCATGCCCTGCTGCCAGCTGCACCCAATACCCCACATGTGCCCTCCCCTTTTTGGAGGGCTGGGGCCTCACCGACCTTCCCGTGCCCCATCCGGTTGACATGGTGGGATCTCCTGTTGGAAGGATCTGGGCCTTTAGAGCATTTTCATGAGGGCCGACGCTGGATCTCAGGCTCCTCACCTATTGAGTGGAGATGACTGCAGCTCACCTCGGAGGCTGCAGGAGTCGAGTCTGATAAGTGCTCACAGCCAGCCCTGGCTGCCTGTGGAGCTGGGGAGGGTTCACGTCACGCTGGGATCCCTGTTGGCTGGTTCAGCTCCAGCCCATGGGGCACTCATGCTACTCCCAGAGCTGTGATCCTGCAGCCCCGCCTGCCACCGCTCAGAGCCACAGGATAGCCCTGCCAGCCTCTACTGCACTCTCATGCCCTCTGAATGTTCTTCCCTGCAGCTGCCTGAACCTCTCCTGCAGGGGCTTGGCCACTGGGGAGCCAGCTAGGCTGGGCTGGGCTCCTCGTGGGGCCCATGCTGAGCAGGTGTGTGAGGGAGCAGGAGGCGGGGTCTGCACGCTTTGGCCTCCTGGCCTTCTCTGCCTGTAGCTCTTCTTTGCTGTGCCTCAAGTGGGCAGAAAGCGGAGGGCCTCTGTAAGTGGCCCTCAGTGTCCTGGTCCCTGCAGACCTTCTGGATGGCCTGCAATACTCCAGCTTTCAAAGGCTCCCGGTGAGCTGACTCTTCGCATGTCCTCTTCTGGGCTACTCTTCACTGGGTGAGGCTATCAGCCTCCTGAGAAATCCTCGTTGGGTGCCAAGAGGACAGTCCTGGAGCTGCCAAGTCTTCTGGCAGCAGCTCTGACCAGGAGACCAGCGTCCGTCCTGCCCCATCCATCTGTCATGCCTGTCTCCTTTGTACCCAGGACACCAAGCTTGGTGACAGGAGAAGCACTAGTGTGGTTCACAGCCGCCCCACACCCCAGCTCAGGGCCTGGCTTACGAAGAGGGCGCTCCAGAGCTTTGCCAGACAGACAGAAAGACAGGTTTCGGGGGAGCAAAAAGGAAGAGATAAACAGCGAACAAACGGACAGCAGGCTGACCTCTAGGGTGAGGGCTCATGTTGGCACCTCTGCCTGCAGACAGACTCCTCAGGGCCAGGTGGTGGTGGCCCTGGCCTCCATTGTCCAGAGGGGAGGTAAGAGACACTCTGCAGTTACCTTGTCCCTGGCAGCTCCTGACCCTGGTGTGTACCCTTGACCAGGCCACTGTGCTCCTGTGAGACTCAGTTTCCCCATCTCTCATGAGGAACGTGGTCTGGGTGTTCCCTGGGGTCCCTGACCCTGGCCTCCGGGCTTCAGAAGGGCATCCCCAGGGAGCTGAGCATCACTGGGTGCTTCCGGACGGATCTGCCATGAGCTGCCATGCTGAGGGAGGGCCATGGAGGGCAGAGGCTAGTGTAGGAGGGCAGGGAGAGCAGGGAGACAGGTTCCCTGCCCCACCCCACCCCACCCCACCCCACCTGACCCCACCTGGGTGCTGGCAAACATGGTTCCTGTGCTCCTGAAAGATCCTGCCAAACCCCGGCCTCCTGGCCACTCCATTCATTTTATCTGATTTTCCCCCAAATGATTCTTCAGGCAGAAAAGGGGCTGCATACGGAGTTAGAAATAGCCAAGCTCATTCCAGTCAAGCGGGTTCCACAGATGTGTGCTGAGATAATTGAGGGTTTGCCACACAGTCCCCTGCCGCTCTGCCAAGGAGAACGGGGCTTCCCATCCCAGCCAGGACCAAGCCTCTTGTCGCCGCATGGGTGGA